AACAAGAATCAAGTTCATTCCTACATCGGGAACAAGAATATGTGTCAATATGATGAATTTTTTATTCAAAGTGCTACAGAAACAGGAGAAAACTGAATCTATTGGATAGGGGTTTCAGGGAAGGTAAGAAACTTAGGTTTTCGAAGATGAATATAAATTCTCCAGATGAGAAGGAATAGAGAAATTATGGTAAAGAACACTGCGAGAATGTACATCTGTGAAAGGAAATTATTGTTTGAAGACTATCAAAGTTTTACACAATCTGAGGGTCAGGCTTGTGGGTGATAAGTTGGAAGGTATAACTGGGAAAAAATTGGATCAATAATCACACACGATGCTATAAATAAAACTCCAATAGTTGAATTAATTGAGATTTGTTGATCTCAAGGTGAGTTTTCATTATTGTGGTTTTTAATGAGCTATATTTTTCCAAAAATGTATATTTTGTTTATTTTACTTTTTTATTAGACTCAAGCTAAAGATGGCATGTAGAATTACTTGACAATAACACTTTTGAAGGAAGTCAGATCTCATTGAAATTTCAATGTTGCTATTTACTAGCTGAGTGATATTTATCAAGTTACTTAACCTTTAAAAAGCCTGCTTCATGTATAGAGAGAAGATAATAAAGCTGCTATAAAGATTAAATTGATAGAACCTGGGAATTTATGTTATGCGGTATGTAGACCCAATAAGTATAGGTATAATCAAGTTTCTAAGGTAGTTGCTTTCAAGTATAGCTTTAGTTATGAAGCTCTCTGAAAATATTATAAGTCCCTTACATTAAATGAATTAACTCGGAACTGCTCTATTTGATGAGTAATTGGGGCATCCAAAGAATGCACAATCGTACTTCCTTTCAGGCGACCCCTAAAGGGCTCTGCAGATCACAGCATGAAAAATGCAGTTGCCTTTCTTCAAAAGGAATTATGGAATAAATGCATGAATTGATTTTTATCCATAGTTCCATTCTCTAGAATGTATTTCACTTTTTATCAGTTCTGTTGGGCATTAGCATTTACATTCTTCTTTCTTTAATACTGCACAGTGAGCCAATTACATTCTATGATGAGTTTTAATCTCTTCTACTTCATGTTCCTTACATTAGTAATTGTAATAAAGTATCATTCCAAAAATTTTATGTGCATTTATATGCATGGTACATAAAAGGAAATCAGAAAAGCCTTCTCTTCCTTTTGGGCTCCTGGATGGGAAAGTTCCCACGACAATATGGCTTGGTAAGCCAATTGCATCTTCCCACAGTTTAGGAAAAAAAAAAGTCATTTTTTTGAGCAAATCCTGAACAGAACTCCATGTGGGCTGAGCAATGGCTAAGTTTCAGTCCTCACAGGGACCCCAGGCTACAGCCTTGCTTAACTGTACACCATGCATGGCTTTGTGTAGAAGTTCTATTTATATATTATTGCTTTGAGCTCCAACTCATTCATCAGCAGAAATTTGAGGCAGAAATGAGTTGAAGTTTATCCTTTTAAAAGAATTCCCAGCAAAGGTTATAATTCAAAGCTATTTTTATGTCATTTGATGATTATAATGGGGATTTTTTTGTGTGTAGTCATTTCGGATTCCTAACAATGGATGGTCAAGAGGCTGAAACAAAGAGGTACACTGGCAGAATGAGTAAGAGATAACGCATTTTCCCAAGCTAACTCTGCTTATAGGAAAAAGCTTTCAAGCTGCAGAATGTCAGCTATCTTTAGGCAAGCCTTTAGGCAAGATGTTCCATTACTGTACGTATAAACACACAACCAAGCCAGTCAGAGAGAAGTTACTCTGTGCATAGCCAATGAATGTAAGACCTTTGATAGTAGAAAGCTTTAAAAGAGTCCTCTCAAGAGGAATGTAAGCCTGAAGCAGTAGAATAGGAAAGGCTGCCTAGAGTCATTGCAAGTGCTCACTAAGCATGGGTCAGGGTGCACATTTGGAACTCAGGTCTTGCCAAAGTGAGCAGTCTGGATTCGAACTGCTGTACCTCTGTATCTTTGTTTACATGCCAAAGACAATAACTACCTCCCACAATTGTTAAAGGGAATAAACAAGATAACCTGTAAAACAGTGCCTACAGCAGAAGGTGCATTATTTCTTTCTAAATAATATATTATTCAGAATAAGTCCATCTTCATTTACCCTGAATCCTGGAGTAGGTGATATATAAAAGTTCTCCAATACAACTGTATGTGATCAGGGAAATATTCTATATGAGATTTCAAAAATTCATGGAAAATGGAATGAAAAGGTATGTTTAAATTGTTCAAAAAGTTAAAATCCATGGGCAGCTTTTCATAATATACATTTTTATAAACTTTTTGAAAGCTTCTACTTTGCACAGATTTCAAATATTTTACATGGAAATAAACTTATCTTTTAATTCATATTTCCACAGACTTTTTTTTTTACAAAATTTATTCATTTATTTGAAAGTCAGTTACATAGAAGAAGAGGCAGAGAGAGAGAGAGAGTATGAGAATGAACTAGTGTTCACTCTTCTGTGGGTGCAGGGACACAAGGACTTGGGCCATCTTCCACTGTTTTCCCAGGTGCATCAGTAAAGAGCTGGATCAGAAGTGGAGCAGCAGGACTGGAACCAGCGCCCATATGGGATACCGGTGCTGCGAGTGGCAGTTTTACCATCTATGCCACAGAACCAGCCCCTCCACAGAGTTTTTGAAGCAGTCTTATACATTTGCTGTCCAATGGGGCAAACTGTGGCTCCATGTGAATATGGAGCACACAGAATGTGGTCAGTGCAACTAAGGAACTGAACTTTTGTTCATTTAATTTTCATGATAAAAATCACTTTGCTGATGTATAACTGACATAAAAAAGCAACACATGTCTAATCTACACATGGCAAGGAACTGGGGGATTATTACAATTTGTGAAAAACCATCACTACTGTCAAGGCCATAAACACATCACCTTCCAACATTTCCTCCCACCCCCTTTATTATACTTTCATAAGGATCCGAGATGTAACCTATTAGTAATTTTAAGTGTATATCACCGTATTATAGTTATAGTTACTATGCAGTATAATAGATCATCCGAAATTATTTATTTTGCATAACTGCAACTTTATACTCAATAACCCATATCTCCCCTTGTCTTCAGTCCTGGCGACTACCTCTCTACTCTTTGCTACAATGAGTCTGATGATTTTATTTTCCACATGTAAGTGAGGTCATGCAGTAATTGTCCTTCTGTGTCTGGATTTAGTTACTTAGCATAAATTCTTCCAGGCCCACCAAAATTGTCACAACTGACAAGATTTCCTCCTTTAATAAGGCTGAATAATATTCCATTGTATGAATATGTCACATTTTCTTTATCCATTCATATATGATAGGCATGTAGGTTGCTTTTCTATTTGGCTATTGGAAATTTGCTTCAATTATAGGAGGGCAAATATCTCTTTAAGATGCTAATTCAATTCTTTTGAGTATTAACCCAGAAGTTGAGTTGCTGAAGCACATGGCTATCTATTTTTAATTTTTTGAAGAACTTCCATACTGCCTCCCATAATTATTATACTAATATATGTTGCCACAGACAGTGTAGAAGGGAGACAATTTTGCCATACCCTAAAAGCACTTATCTTTTTAAAAAATTACTATTCTATCAGATATGAGATGATACATCATTGCGATTTTGACTACAATTTCCCTGATGATTTTGAATATGTTGTCATATACTATTGGCTATTTGTATGATTTCCATTGAGAAATGTCTATTCATGTGCTTTGGTCATTTTAAAAAATTGAGTTGTTTTTTGTAGTTGTTTTTGTAGATGTTCCTAGAATATTTTTACTGGTGATCCCTTATCAGATATGTGTTTGTCACATCGTCTTCCCCATTCCATAGGCTGTCTGTTTATTTCTGTTGATTGTTTTCTTTGCAGTATGGGACCTTTTGAATTTAATGTAGCTTTACTTATTTCTGCTTTTTTTCTGCTTGTGCAGAAATAATCATTGCAAATACCAGTGAAAAGGAGCTTTTCCTATTGTCTTCTACAAGTTTTACAGTATTAGATACATATATGTCTTTAATTCAGTTTGATTTGATTTTTGGGTGTGGTGTAAGAGAAAAGCCCCAACGTCATATTTTTGCACATTGATATTCAGTTTTCTCAATACCATTCATTGAAGAGATGTTTCAACTTTTCCACATTGTTTATTCTTGGCACCTTGTTGAACATTAGTTGGCCACATATATGGTGTTTTATTCTGAGTTCTCTATTCATCTCCATTGGTCTGTGTGTTTTATGCCAGTGAAATACCACTTTGCTTAATACAGCTTTATATTGTAATTTGAAATCAGGAAGTGTGATGCCTCCGGCTATGTTCTTCCTTCAGATCACTTTGGCTATTCAAGATCTTATGATTCCATTGGTTTTTTGGATGTTTTCCTACTTCTATGAAGAAAATATCCTTGGAATATTGATTGGATTGCAGTGATCAATTCATGTGATGTCTTTCCACTTCTTTATGTCCTCTTCAATGTTTTATAGTTTTCAGTGTACAAATCTCTCACTTCCTTGGTCAAATTCATCCTTAAGTGTTTTAATAAGTTAAATATACTTAATGTTTGTTAATTTAAATTTAAGTAGATACATTTAGTTAGTGGTTACTGTATGTCACCACACAGCTCTAAAAAAGAAATCAGACCCAACTGGTTAACCTCTACATAAGTAAGTATTTTTTCACTGATAAGTGAAAATCCCTTTGGGCAGTGGGTTCCAAAACCAGAATTAATAGACTCCATGAATACTTAAAATTATATGACAACCATGTTAAATTTGAAGTGTATTTATCCTGGAGAACAACCATCCTGAGCATTGGACTCTGAAAAATGACACTGTCTCACAAAATAAAAATACAGAAATAAATAACGGAAATAGACCTGTTTCTTACACTTGCTCTGTGTTTAATTGTTTATTGTTCAGAAAAAGGGGTGGCTAAGTTTTTGTATTTGCTCATGAAACTACTATTAATCATTATTATTAACATAAATATAAGCAAGACATTAAGTAAAAATATGTAAATATGAAATTCATGGATATTTTCAATTACTTTAATTATAATAAAGCTTGTAAACAAGTTTTAAAATATTGAATTACATGCTAATTGCATGTTTAATTTCATTAATTAACTTTAAAATGTTAAAAATCACAGAGAGTAGTACAGATATATACAAACTAAAACATGCAATTGCCTCCCACCTGTTCTCCTTTATCTGCTCCTGTTCTCTAGGGTAACCATGGTGATAAGTTGCTACAAATTTCTACAGACCTTTTTTCATGACTCCAAATGTTTTGTGTTTGCATGCACACATGGCTGTATATCTACATGTACTTACAAAAGTGAACTTCTATTCTATTAGTAGTAGGTTGAATAATGGTTTCCAAATTTGGCCACATCCTTATCTTGCTTCTTGTGCTTATATTACTGTACACAACACAAAGGGCTTTGCAGGCTGATTTCATTAAGGATTTGAAAATGGGAAGATTATCCATGGTTATCCTTAGAGGAGGGAGACAAGAGGTTCAGAGTGAGTGGACAGCGTGGGGATGGAAGCAAGAGGTTGGAGTGAGTCAAGGAAAGGATCACACACCAAGGCATGGAGCCAGCAGCAGTAATTGAAACAGGAAAGGGTGCTGACTCTTCCCCTGAAGTCCTTGGAAGGAATACAGCCCCTTGACCTCCAGAATATGTAATTTATGTAGGAGAATAAATCGAATTGGTACAAAGCTAAATGAAAATAGATCTCAGCAAAAAAAAAAAAAAAAAGAATGGAAATAAGAGTGGGAGGAGGAAGAGGGATGGGAGTGTGGGTGAGAGGGCGGGTATAGTGGGAAGAATTACTGTATTCCTAAAGTTGTAATTATGAAATGCATGAAATTTGTATTTCTTAAATAAAAGGCTTCTGAGGAAAAAAGTGTATGATCACATAAACACTGATAAGTTGATCCAAATGACTTTTAGTTCACAGAATTTAAATAAATCTTGCATTAAAAAGATAAACGATTGTTGTTTTTGGACACAATGTTTGTGGTAATTTGTTATGGCAGCAATAGGGAACTAGTACAGAATGGTATAGTATTCTGTAACTTTCTTTTATTTAAAAAAAATTTTTTTTTATCTGAAAGTCAGAGTTACACAGAGAGAGAAGAGAGGCAGAGAGAAAGAGAGGTCTTCCATTTGCTGTTCACTCCTCAAATGGCTGCAACAGCCAGAGCTGAGCCAATCTGAAGCCAGGAGCCAGGAGCTTCTCCTGGGTCTCCCATGTGGGTGCGGCAAAGCGGGTGCAGCAGCCCAAGGACTTCGGCCATCTTCCACTGCTTTCCCAGGCCTTAGCACAGAGCTGGATTGGAAGTGGAGCAGCCGGGCCTCGAACTGGCACCACAAGCGGCAGCTTTACCTGCTACGCTATAGCGCCGGCCTCTTACCTTTCTCTTAACAGACTTCCATTTGAATCCCTCCTTGTAAACACATGTTGTACTATTCTACCCTTTATAGATGTTGCCAGTAATACCAGTTTGTTTCCCTTGTGTGATGCTGTACATAGGATTCCAGTGTGCAACCTCTGACAGGTGCGCACGTATTGCACGTATGGTTTTGTGGAAAAGACTTCAGAGAGGAGCAGCCTGTGAAAAGGTGAAGGTGCAGTTGGCAAGTGCGCGGTTCTCCAGAGCCTTCAGTCTCCATCCTCAGTGTCTCTCGGTGGAGACGATGCTTCCCTGTCCCACAGGCCTCGTCACGACTTGCTCTGACCAATAAGACGCCAGCAGAAGGGTTACAGTCCCCGTGAGTGGTGCTTTATGCCTGAACGAGTCCTTTACGGAGGCTGCATATTCCACCTGGATGTCAGCAGAGCCATAATTAATACGTAATGTAGCAAAACAAAAAAATAAGCCTTTATGGTTGTAGATGACTTGGGTTTCAGAGATCCAATATGCAATAGCATAGATTACTGTAAGCTTTCTAGTATAGTGTTATGAATATTTAAAATGTCATAACTACTACCAAATTGCCTTCTAGGAAGCTACACATGGCCACTGATGGTGGAGTGCCTTTGCTCCACACTCTTGCCACCATTACATAGCAATCATTGCCAATTTTGTCTCACTGTTTTATTCCTCATTTTTCTGATTTCATAAAAAGTCCTTTCAGTTTGCTTATTACCCTATTGTATTTGTTCTTCCATGAAATGTGTGCATGACTATTGTCCATTTTTATCTAAAGTTATCCAGCATCTTCATTTAAATTTTTCAGAGTCCTTATATATTAAGTCACTATTTTATATCCTGTCTATATCTTAATGACTCATTTGATTCTTTGTGATGGCTTTCACCACACAGAACAATATTCTTTAATGTGAGATGTAATTCAAGGAAAACTTTAATCACTACAGAGATCACAGGCTACTAAGAATGGCTCACTTAGCCTAGATGAGATTTGCTGATCAAATATGTGGTATTTTAAAAATTTCTAATTTATTTGTTTTTATTTATTTTGGAAGGCAGAGAGAGAGATAGAGAGAAAGGAAGGAAGGAAGGGAGGGAGGAAGGGAGGGAGGGGGGAGGGAGGGAGGAAGGAAGGAATAAACAGACAGAGATTTCTCATCCACTAGATCACTCTCTAAATGCCCATAATAGCCCAGGCTGGGCCAGGCCAGAGCCAGGATCCAGGGGCTAACCTAGCTCTCCCATGTAGATGTCCAGGACACAATCAAGTACTTGAGCCATCATCCACCACTGCCAGAGCATGCATTAGCAAGAAACTGAATTTGTGAGTACAGTCACCAGAAGCCAACACTGTGGGTATCACTGCTCCAAATGTCTAAATATCTAGCTTTGAGCCAAATATAATTAAGGAATGGTCTCTGACACACAATCGTTCATAAAAGGGGAGAATAAGAAAAGACAAAGGTCAAAGCATCTAAAAGACAAAATCATTAAAGGATAAAACAAAGATAAAATATACACATTAAAATTTATATAAACATAATAAAGGTATTAATGAAAATAAAATTTGGTAAGGTATATCTTCAGTTATTTAAATGTTTATAACCATTGCACATATTGCATTTTTCTCCATTTAAATAATTTATTGTAGCTAAATTCCTATGAATAAGATTTTTTAATTAAAGTTGATCATAGAAGAACTGAGTTATTGAAATCATGAAAGTAATCAAGAGACAGACATTATTATACTTAAAATAGGCAATTAGGTTAAGGAAAACCTGACATATCAATTGATAGGAATATAATGATGCTGTTAAAATTTAATCAGTATAATGATCTAGAATCCTGAATCAATCTGAACTCATTTTTATGGGGACTTTCCTGTCTTGCCCAGCTTTGTTTCCCTCTTTGTTCTGACAAAACTTCGTCTCTCTAGGCTAAGATTTATCAAGATGAATCATGTTTACTTTTTTATATATCTCTTTTCTCACTCGACTTCACGATTTATGTCTTCTCTATTTCAGCAAGCAGTTCATGCTTTCTCACTTAAAATGCATCCATACATTTCGTCAAGTAAAATAGACAAAAATTTGTATGCAGAATGCAAATATAATGATGTAAAATTACATAGATATGTTCAGTGGAGGTCCCAAGACCTGGATGGTTACCAGGGCAAGGGGAGGTGCTATGGACAATTATTATTTTTTTTTTGACAGGCAGAGTGGACAGTGAGAGAGAAAGAGACAGAGAGAAAGGTCTTCCTTTGCCGTTGGTTCACCCTCCAATGGCCGCCGCGGCCGGTGCCCCGCGCTGATCCGATGGCAGGAGCCAGGTGCTTCTCCTGGTCTCCCATGCGAGTGCAGGGCCCAAGCATTTGGGCCATCCTCCACTGCACTCCTGGGCCACAGCAGAGAGCTGGACTGGAAAAGGGGCAACCAGGACTAGAACCCGGTGTGCCAGCACCACAAGGCGGAGGATTAGCCTATTGAACCGCGGCGCCGACTAGACAATTATTTTTCTATAAAATTTTATTTATGCAAGATTAATCAGGTCCAGAGATCTGCTGTATATTTTAGTGCCTACCATCCATAATATAATACAGAACACTAAAATTTTGTTCAGAGATTAAGTTTCATAGGATTTGTGGATTTTAGCATCTTCCACAGCCTAGGCAGCTCATGTCAAGAGCCTTGGGTAATCACTGACGTCATACATAAGAGTGTTAATTGTTAAGTTAACAATGGGAGTCACTGTATGCTAACTTCCCATGCAGGACCTCTGTCCCCAAAGAGTTGTGTTGTAATTATGGCTAAGTGTTCACAAAAGATGTATCATTCTTGGGTGCTTCTTTAAAGTTAATTAAGTTTCTTTAAAAAAGGAAATTAACTTCAAGATACAATGACTTTGAACAGCCCTTGTCTCGATTGTTGAGGAGCATTTTTGTGTGTGTGTGTGCAAATTGTTGAACACTTTATTTAGTATAGAGTTGGTCTTCTGTGTATAAAGTTAATTGAAAACGGATCATAGCGGAGAATGGAATTGGGGATGGGAAAGGGAGGAGTTGGAGGGGTGGGAGTGTGGGTGGGATGGCAGGTATGGTGGGAAGAATCATTTTATTCCTAAAGTTGTACTAATGAAATGCATGAAGTTTGTATTCCTTAAATAAAATATTTCTTTGGGGAAAAAAGAAAAAGAAAATAAAAACTATAACATACAAGGGAACTTTTGGAAGTGGTGGTTTCCCGGGTATATGAATATGTCCAAACTCAATAAATATTTTCCTTTTTTTTATGTCAACTACCTCCTAAAGAAACTGTTACAAAATGCACTATTAGAGCAGTGATGTGTCTCACTAAATCTCAGAACAAGATTACTCTTTATAAACAAATAATAGATCATCAATACTTACTTGTTTTAGGTTTCTAGGGTGGGTGCATCCATACACTTGTGAATTGCTTTATGACATGCTCTTTCCATTGCTGGAAATGATAGGAGTCACTCTTCCCTTCCAAACACCCTAATTCAATGAGAAGACATGTACTTCTTTAGAAAGTAGCAAGAGATGTTTCCATCTATTTCTAGAAGTAAAGACCAGAATATTCTCTTTGAGATTAGAGCTACGTTAACTGATCTGATTTTTCATAAAACAACAGAATCCAATTTGTCATGAAGGAATTAGTCTACACCTGCACTGCCCAATACAATCATCACTGACCACATATAGCTACTGAGAAGTTTAAATATTCAGGAATTGAAATTTGTATCTTCCTTAGGTTAAATCAGTTGAGAATTAAGTTCGAATAGCCTCATGTAGCTAATATCCACCATACTGGACAGCACAATGGTAAGCAGTCTCTTTGTGTTTATCATTTAAGCTGTAGCTTTCCCTGATGTGAGTCAAGGTAATTCAAGTATAGAGCTCCAATCGGACCAGATTCCATGGAAACTGCCTCTGTCTAGTCTGAGCCTACTGATGTCCCTGATGAGGTTTACATGTGTGAAATGGCTATTGATTGAGCCCATCATAAAAAGTCAACATAATGCCAGAATCTAGGCACGCATCACTCTGCCTGTAGAGCTCTAATGTTTGAGAACAGAAATTCCCAAAGCTATGCTACCTTTCCTTAATTTTCCAGGTTGGTTAACTAATACAATGGATATTAACGTATTACTTGGTCCTTGATTATTAATGTTTAATATAAAGAATTTTAGGTCTGAGAAGGGAAATTCAAGTCTTAAGTCTGGCAATTATTAACTGCTAACTGATTTAGTGACCTGGCAACAAATACTCCAAACACACTAAATCCCCGACACTTTTTTCTCTCACCTCTCATCTCTCACTGATAAGACTTTTTGTGAGATCTCTCATTATTAGCTACAGTATTTGCTTTCCACTTTTCTTCACTTAACCATCAGAACAAATGGAATAAAAGATTTGAGGTGATGAAAGCAGTGAGATGAAACTAAAATATACTCCTGGGCTGTTAAGTAGAAGAGATGAACTTCGGGAAAACCCTAGAATGGAAGAGCTATTGAGAAGGTCGAATTAAGCTTATTGAAAGATGTATTTGCAAAGATAAAGCTTCCTTAATTATTAATGATCGGCTCCACAGGAGATGCAGTCCAAGAGTATTTTTCTTCCTTGGGCTTCTTGTTGTCTGCCTCTGAGCAGAGCTAGCTCAGCCGAGGGTTGTGGGTGATTTTGTGGATGAAGGTGAAGTTTTGGAAAGCTGGAAATGTGTGTGTGTGTGTGTGTGTGTGTGTGTGTGTGTGTGGTTTATTTATTTATTTTTTTTAGAACCTGAACCAATTAGAGGAGTAAATGAGAGACAAACTGCTGCCGGGCTCTGAATAGGAAATGATCTGTGAGTAAATTGAACAAGCCGGGAGACAGTAAATAGGCAATTAACATTCGTTTTGGCAAATCTGCACCTGTTGGAGCTGCAAATACAAAGAGAAACATGAAGGGGAATGACAGAGAAGCCCTGTCAAACATCCTAGTATCGAACGATATTAAATCCTGAGCTTCATGCAATCAGGAGTGTAAATTCTATGAAGCTGTAATTTGGTCAGACATCAGGAAAGAAACAATGCTCAAAGAAATACTGTTCAAGCCACATTTTCTGTACCTCAGGTTGTCTAGAGAATTTTCAGGGAGTCAATGCTGTTGATGACATTGTTTCAGATGATTGTTGTCTTCAAGGATTTAGGAAGTCTTGATAGATCTTGAGGCAAGATGGTTCACAGAGAAAATTATTTAGGGACCTCCATTCTTTGTTCCTTTCTGCTGTCACTTTTGCATTTTGAAGGCCCCCTTACCAGCCCACAGAGACCCACTGCCTAGCATGACTCCACTGGAAATGTTACAAGCATGCTTTGGAACTTGTGCCGTACTGGAAACTACGCCATGTTCTGTATTTTCATATCCTTTTTCTTGGAATTCTTTCTCTGCCATCTAAGGTCTACACATTTCTTATCAGCCCAATCTTTTTGATGCATGACTGCTCTTTGCAAGTCTTGGCTCCATTTTGCCAGAGCCTTCTTTCTAAAGATAATTCTCTATGACATACATAAAATAAATATTTAGTAGTCGAGACCCCAGTGACCTTCAGATATCCTAATGCAGATGGGCATTTAGTTTTTAGTAATTACATGGATTAGGGAAGCAACTGCCTTTGCATCAGTCAGTAAAGAATCCAAGCTATAAAGATGTTTTATAAGAAATTGTCACTTCTAAAGACAATTTAGGAAATTGAACATCTTTCTTATTTTAACGTAGTTCATATATTTTTCCAGGAGGCAGAGGAATGATCTGGAATTAGCTCCTAAGAATATGATTTATGATTTAATACCATATATCTCAAGCTATATTCACTAGAATATTTGTGTCTTGGGAGATACTCACAGGTATTCTCCATAGCAATTAATTTTTAGGAAATTCTGTCTATTTATGCTATCTTTGAAAATTAATATTGTGCAGCTCAGTGAAATTTATGAGAAAAACCACAGCAACATCCCAATACCATTAACTTCACAAGGGAATCCATTGTTGCATAGTTTGAATAATTTTTGAAATAATTCATAGTTTTGGGCACAGTTTTATCCACTCTCTTACTAGAGAATCAAATCACTATACATCCCCCCAAAAAAGGCAACTAAGCACTTAGTACCAATCTACACCAGTCCAAACGCTAACTGCCTGTTCTTCCTGCACACTAGATAACACTGTTCATACCTTGAGTTTCGTGATGATAGAGACTGATTCCCTGATAGGATCAGTCTCTCCACATCTTGTCTTGCTTAGTACTGCCACCTGCTGTAGAAGTAAAGAGTAAGTGAATTCTTATGCACATTTGCCCAGGAAGATTTCACCTGATTACCTACCTGTATAGTATAGATATCAAGCATGAAGAAAAAACTTCATTAAAATAAAGCTAGACTCTAGTGTTGCTCTCTACAATATAACAAAAATATAGGGGTTGGTGGTGTGGCATAGCAGGTAGAGCCACCACCTGCAGAACCTGCATCCCATATGGGCACTGGTTCAAGTCCTGGATGTTCCACTTCCAATCTAGCTCCCTGTTAATGAGCCTGGAAAAACAATGGGAGATGGCTCAAGTGCTTGGGCCTCGGTACCCATATAGGAGACCCAGAAGAAGCTCCTGGCTCCTAGCATCCTATTGGCTCAACTGCAGCCATTGTGACCATTTGGAGAGTGAACCAGAAGATGGAGCATCTCTCTCTCTCTCTCCCTCCCTCCCTCGCTCCTGCCAGTCACTGAACCTTGTCAATCTATGGATCGTTTACACAGAGCACCTATATGTACATACATGCTATGTTTCTTCTACCTTAATTTTGTTCATTTGTCTTAGTCATTTCTATAAGCTAGATGGAGTCATTTGTTTCCCTAGGTATAACAGCTCCTAAAATAAAGGAGTCTGTTTCTTTTTAAATGTCCTCCTAAACCTGAGGTTCAAGGGAGTTACAGATTTCCTATACAGAGTAAGTGCTAGGCTCCAGAGAGTAAAGCCCCGCTGCATTTTGTTACTGGAGATGACAGCAGTACCTATGGGAACCAGAAAAGGCTGTGCCTTAGAGAGTTAGAGCCGACACATTGAGAAAAGCCAGCTGGGACACAGGAACCCCTCAGAGCAAGCCACGACTACAGCTGAGGCTTCAGGTTGCTCCTGACTGCTCTCCCTATTTTCAGTCCTGTTCCCCACTACTCAATTTCTTTTGTGAAAATCACAATTATGTATTTAAAAAGTTAAAGCAAAAGCCAGGTTCCCACTGCCCAGCACCCTGTTAGCTCACTGGAACTGCCACAACAAAGTGCCACACGTGGTATAGCATGTAGTACCACACTTGACCACAGAAATCTATTTTCTCACAGTTTTGGAAACTGGAAATCTGGAAGCAAGATGTCAGTGAGATTGGTTCAGTCTGAGGGCTTTGAGGGGAAGCCTGCTCCATGGGTCTCCCAGTTTCACTGACTGCTGAAAATCCCTGGTGCTCCTTGGCTTGTAGATACCTCACTCCCATCTGCCTTCAGTTTTACTTAGGATTCTCCTCAAGCTTCCGTGTCTCTACCTGGCCATCTTCTAATGAGGACCCTATTCATGCAGGAGTCGGAGCCTTCCTTGTTCCAGGACTACCTCATCATAACAAATTACTTATATCCAAATAAGGTCGTGTTTTCTGTTTCTGGAGATGAGTGCTTCAATAAAATTTTTGGTGGAATGGTATCTTTCCCCAGGCTTAGCCTAAATATATGACACTTTGTTGTGGGTCCTCTTTTATGTTCTATCCACAAATTCCTGTTATACAAAATTACCTACTGTCTCCTCATATATTATCACCCCCCACTGAATGGGGTGTGTTCCAAGGACTTCAGTAGGTGCTTGAAACCACGGCTAGCACCAAAGCCTATATAAACTAGGTATTTTTTCCTACACCTATATACCTATGATAAAGTTTATAAATTAGAAAAGTAAAAAAGTAATTACTACTAAAATAGAATGATTATAACATGCTGTAATTAAATTTATTTGAATGTAATTCCATCTCTCTCAAAATATCTTACAAAATCATCATATGCTTTTCTTAGTAAGTCAAGAACATTTACCTTCCCACTTAAAGGAACCACTTTACAGATACTCTTTGGCACATCCAAATTGCCAGCATCACTGCTCTTAGACTTTGGGGCAATTATTAAATAAAATAAGGGCTAAGTGAACAGAAGCCTACAATAGCATATCTGTCAATCTGATAATCAAGTCAGTATTCAGTGATTAACCATTGGACAGATACACAGTGCACAAATGCATGGCTATACTGGACAGAGAAATGATTCCTCTCCCAGGTGGGATGGAGAACAGCATAATTTAGTGCAGGATCTCATCAAGCTACTCACAACAATGTACACATTAAAACTTATCAATTGTTTATTTCTGACATTTTCCATTTAATATTTTCATACTTAATACTTACATACTTCATACTTACATACTTCATACTTAACAACCCAAGGTAATTGAAATCACAGGCACAGGAAGGACTACTATACCTAATACATCTTCTATACGTACTATATACTCTATACTATGTATTCTATACCTACTATACCTGTTACATCTTCTATACCTTCTGTATATTCTATACTACATATCCTATACCTACTATATCCATTACATCTACTATACCTACTGTATATTCTATACTATGTATTCTATACCTACTATACCCATTACATCTTCTCTTGCTTTATCACATGCTGTAATGATAATAATTGACATTTATATTATACTACTATGTGCCAGGCATATGTTAATACATTTTGTTCACTGCTATTTTGCAATGGAGGTCATTAAACCTGGAAAAATTTAGCCATTATCACATAGGTAGTACATACTAGAGGCAGGATTAGTACCTAGAGAGCCTGGATTCAGCGGTTTTGCCCTTAAAACTAAGGAAGAGGTGGAGGGAGAGGTTATCCAAAGAAAATTCTTTCTTCTTCAGGATTCAATTTACTAATCAGGTTTAACCTTTTTTCTTACACTCTATATATGAATTATCACAGATCATGGAAAACATATGATATTTGTCATTTGGGGACTGCCTTATTTCACTAAGCACAATGGTCTCCAGTTGCATGTATGCTGTTGTGAAGACAGATTTCATTCTTTGCTATGGCTGAGTAGTATTCTATGGTGTATTCATGCCACAATTTCTTTATCCAGTCACCAGCTGATGGACATCTGAGCTGATTCCATTTCTTAGACCTTGTGAATTGAGCTGCAATGAAACTGGGGTTACAGATTACTCTTTCATATGCTGATCCCATTTCCTTTAAAAAAAAATGTTCTCTGTATTTCCTGTCTCCCCTCCTTCCACTTTCAGAGTGATTTGGGTAGCTCTAATATATGTTCCCTGTCGTAGTCCATTTTGCACAGCTTTAATAAAATAGCTGAGAAGGGGTAATTTTTGAAGAACCTAAATCTTTTTGCCACAGTTCTGGAGGCTGGAAAATTCAAGATCAAGGCAGCACCAGGTTCTGCCCTTTGCGTCCAAGATGGTGCCTTGACGCTGCCCTCTGGCGGGAAGGAACACTGCGTCCTCTCCTGGTGAAAAGATGGGAGAGTGAAGAGAGGGCCATGCTTCACCAGCTCCTCCTCTCACAATGCGTCAGTCTGCTTCTGAAGGTCAGGACTCTTGACCTAACCAGCTCCCGAAAGACCCCACCCCCAGCACTTTGGCATTGAGATTAGATCTGCATCATAAAAATCTCAGGGCATACATTCAGAACTTAGCGTTCTCCCACCACACCGCATGTCTGTGGAATCTTAAGACTTCCCAGCTCCATGACTCATTCTCTGTAAGGAGTATTCCTTTTTTTTTTTTTTTTTTAAGAAAGCATAGCCCAGGCCATCGCTGTGGCTCACTAGGCTAATCCTCCGCCTTGTGGCGCCGGCACACCAGGTTCTAGTCCCGGTCGGGGCGCCGGATTCTGTCCCAGTTGCTCCTCTTCCAGGCCAGCTCTCTGCTGTGGCCCGGAAGTGCAGTGGAGGATGGCCCAAGTGCTTGGGCCCTGCACCCGTATGGGAGACCAGGAAAAGCACCTGGCTCCTGGCTTTGGATCCGCGCGGTGTGCCCGCTGCAGCGGCCATTGGAGGGTGAACCAACGGTAAAGGAAGACCCTTCTCTCTGTCTCTCTCTCTCTCTCACTACTGTCCACTCTGCCTCTCAAAAAAAAAAAAAAAACAAAAAAAAACAAACAAAAAAAAACACAAACACAGCCCAGAACCCAAAAGTAATTAAAAATAAACTCTATTTTTTTTTATTTGCAACTTGTGTGGAAAGAGAAGCAGATCCAATTAATAATATGCAATTCTCCAAAGTTTCCATCCTAAACACCCAGTCTCTAAGACCCCAGAGCTGTAGCAGGACTAGTTGTTCAATTCCCCAATCAAAATAAAAAATAAAAAAATCCCAATAACTAGGCTTGCTGTCTCCTATTTTCCAGTACATTTCCACCACGTTTTAGATTATAGATTTTGTGGGATTTTTTATATTTTTGTACCGAAGATGGAAATCTTCAAAGGATCACTCTAATGTTAATAAATCCTGTACCCATCACACCTCTGTTAAAGCACTTATAATATATAACATCACTCACTACCCAAGCATATTTTATTCCAATACTTTCTCTCATGTGGGGAAACTCTAGTGACTTCCTAATTAATTTTAAAACTGCAGTGTTTCAATCAATGCAAACCTAAGCCCAAGTATCAAGCTAGTAATATCAATAATATGCATTTGTAATTACATATTTCAGTTAACTATAAAATCTATTATTATACTAATAAAATGTATGAAACTACTTAACCAGCCAGGAACTTAGGGCAGCTGCAGCATCAGTCCTTGCCATTTCACAGTTGTTCACAGGCTGTGCAAATTCACAGGCTGTGTAAAAAGAGTTATGCAAAGTGCCAGGAAGCTGTTTTTGCATAAAATCACAGTGTATTTTTAGATTAAACACTAAATTTCCATGCGAGACCTTGGGTTATAATAACACAACAATTAGAGAGCTATGTATCAAACTGACGTTTAGAATAAAAGCATGGTAGAAGTCTTGAAGTGCCTGATAGTAGCCACAATTAATAGGATAATCCACTCACATAATCCTGATTACTAGAGGCCAGGAGGGATGTGATGAATGGAGTAAGAGGTATATGGGAACTCTTTGTGTTACAGCCTATAATTTTGGTTTTGTAAATTTAAAACTTATGTTTTAAATTATGTTACTATGTTCACATA